TTGGGTCATGGAGGGGCTTGGACCATGCCCTCTTGTCAAGCTGTGGCTCAAGATCCAACCCACCTTCACCCTGCCTCGTGAACATATAGAGGTTAAGATCCCAGGCACATTTTAAAATATGGAAGATAGTTACATCAGCTCACAAAATGAAGGGCAGCCAAACAAGACTGTGAATCATGGCCTAGCCAAGTTGACACACATTTTGGGGGGACCCTGTTCGATCTATGGCAAGGGTCGTCCTGAATGCCAGTGTTGTGCAAGTCAGGCGGTTTCTGCCATGACATGGAGCTGCAGTGTCTGCCCCGAGCGTGGGGTGCTCCCACCCCACAGGGGCCCTCTTTCCTAAGCTAGAGGGTGGGTTGGAAGGTGGAAGGGGTCCTCTTTGGGTAGAGATGGGAATGCAGTACCAGAAATTCATGTCCTACTTAGGGACAAAGGTACGTCCCTTTAATGTCATATCCATTTACCCTCATTTGGAAACTATTGAACCAGCGCTACTCTTAGCAGATTCTTCACCACCGTCATCTTCCCTCGCTGCACATAGAGCTTCTACATCAGTGAACAGGTTCTGAGCCTTTTGCCCCACTAAAACTGAACCCCCTGCTGTTAAGCCCATGCTGCACATCTCAGCCCTGTGGGGCAGAGTAGAACTGCCCCACGGGGTTTCCAAGGCTGCAGTCTCTGTGGAAGCAGACGGCCCGTCTTGGTCTCCCACCCAGTGGCTGGTCGGCTAGAACCAACCACCAACCTTCCAGGTAGCTGCTGAATGCCTAGCCTCGGCGCGACCAGGGCACGACGTTTTGACATTAGACTTCTTTTTTTTTTTTAATCGCTCAAAGAGTTTTCAAACATCTACAACAAGGATACACCTAGGGTTTTACAAAAAACAGAGCGAGAAACTTTTGGTATGGCCATGGCCATGTCGTACCCAGACAAGGATGTGCTCGGGATGCAGCTTCTACCTCAGACCTGGACGAGACATCGGTATTATGTCTGTCATCTTAAATGCTTCAGGTCTGCTGTGCTGGGGACTCCCGCTGCCCCAGCCTGTTCCTCACGATAGCTTGTGCAGTGTGGCCACTGTGCTCTGGAAGTGGGGGGGTGAGGGGGGTGTCCAGGCACCCAGAGGTGTCCCTTGCCCAAGGTCAACTGGCCCAGAAAATGGAAGCAGAGACATGAC